CAACATGCTGGTTGAGCTCTAGTGCTCATAATAGATGCTAAGGATAATGATATCGCATTGCATAAGTCGCTGTAGCACCTTTATGGCTTCATGTTACTCTGTCTCAGGGTGTTTTTGGATCTGTAGAAGCTCACACTGTGCTCTGCCATTTTCAGCTCCTACTCCGCATGCTGAACCTGCGACGGTACAATGGGCGCATCCTTTTTGTTCCAGCACCAGGATATGAAGAAGTTGGTGATCCTGTGGAGCAAACTACAAACGGAGTTAGCACGGGCATTCAAGAAGATGGAGCAACAGACAGTAATGGTGAAACGTGTGGCTATGTTGGCCCGTCCATCAAAGAAGCTGATCTTAGATGGAGATCACTGAATGGTCCATTCGTTTCAGTCTGGCTCGGCAATGTTCCTTTCGCCAGCGAAGATGCCATGGCAGCACCAAAAGCAGAGGTCAGTCTCTCGCCGTTTCGGGCCTTGGGGCTCCTCTGTGCTCCATAGCTTGATTCTTTCTTGTTTGTTGCCATGCAGTTTGCGGATGGCTACTTGGATGCTGCTATAATCAAGGATTGCCCGCGGTGGGATGTTGTCGGGCTTGTGTTCCAGATGAAGGACGGCACCTACGTGAACTCGCCATGCGTGGAGTACTTCAAGGTGCGTTGCTTAGTCCATGTCCATGTCCATGTCCATGCGTTCTACTCTACCCACCCCTGTCCCTGAACTCTGTCATCAAAACATAACGAGGTGTGCTGGGCAACTACAGGTGAAGGCGATCCGGATCGAGCCGGGCCTGCGCGTGGGCAGCACCACCAAGGGCGGTATCATCGACTCGGACGGGGAGGTGATTGCGAGGGGCGATGATGGTCCCCACTCCCGCGCCGGCGACGAGCCGGGGCACCTGATGGCGTACGGTCCATCCATCCAGCTGACGGTGGACCAGGGACTGGCCACCATCTTCTCCCCGAGATGACGATTCTTATCTCTGTTCAACACCGTCTGCGTGTAATTTGCTTCGTTAGCCCTCCCATTTTCCCGTGTAGAATCATGTGCTTCTACTGTACATGTAGCCCCCCACCCCAGTGGAGAGCGATGGGGAGGGAGGATACTGTTTTCGAGCGTCGAGAGGTTGTTTTCTTTTCATGGCCACAGTCCACATAGCTGCCGCTGCTTTTAGTGCTAGCGTGACAAATGAGAAGTGGTCAGTTCATAATCTTTTTTTCGGGTGTTGTTGATTATCACTTGTACAAGCAGTTGGACTGATCTCCTGCAAACTTGGTGTTAAATCCACCTTAAAAATTTGTACATCCATATAAAAAAACTTGACATAAGTCGAACTATCTTTGATCAAGCCTATATAAAACCAATGTTTATATCGCGAAATAAGTATCACTAAATTTATCATTAAACATATTCTCAGAAAATACCTATTTGATGTCATAAATATTGATAGTCTTATACTCCTTCTGTTTCAAATTATAAGTCGCTTTGACTTTTTTTATATAGATTTTGCTATGTATCTAGACATATATTATATCAAGATACATACTAAATTTAATGTATAAAAAATCAAAGCGACTTATAATTTGAAACAAAGTGAGTATAAATTTGGTCAAAGTGTAAATCACTTTGATGACCTAAAATGACTTTTTTAAAACAGGGATACTACTACCTCCACCCTAAATAGAATGATATTTTTGGACTAAGTGGGAAAATATTATTAATAATTGTATCTCTAATGATACATATTACAAGTCATAAATAGTAGTAGATTTATATATATATTTGATCAAATTTGACATCAATTAATTACTCAAAAAATAAGATTGATATATTTTTTTAGGATAGATGAGTCTGATTCTAATAGATATTGTAATATACGACGTGGCCGCATATATATTTCCGAGCCACAAGTCATTTAGTAGCCGTACAACAAGATGTAAGATGTAACATGTAACATGTATGTTTCATTGCAACATACATATTTACTAGCTGGGAAGTCTCTCGTCACTCTTATGTTGTTGTTGGGGCCAAAGTTGATGAGATGGGAACAGTGGTAAGTAGGACTACAGGAGCAAGGAGGAAGGCAATCGTGGCACCTCACCAGTCGCTATCAGCTCTGTGCTAGGGCTATCGCACCAATTTGATCTACAACAGTTGTTGGGCTCTATTGTTGGATGTGGCCTATCGCCTCCTCCCCCTGTCTTCGCTCTTGCCTCGTCATCTTCGACTTGTAGTCGTAGTGCCTCCATTCCTCTATCTGTCTCGTGTCGCGACGCCAGGTTCATGTGTTCTGGTGGCGAACATTCATGGCAGGGCAGTCTGCCTCTTCTATCTTCTCGCCTTCCGAGGTAACTGGCCCTTTCCCCTCCATGCTCCTTTCACACTCCACGGGGGCTATCTTCAAAGGGAAGTGAAGTGGGATTTTTGTGGCATGTTTATCTGATTATCTGTGTTGTGGTGTGCTACAGGCGAAGTTCATGGCGGAGGATGAGACCATCATCATCGTTTCCAAACTCCACATGGACGCCCTCAACATGATTATGCATGCATATGTCATCCACACCCATTTCCATCTCTTTCAACTCTCAATGTCCCACCTATTCTTATTTACCACAGTCTTCGTATATGCTTTGTTTGAATGCACTTGTATACACCTCAACCAATGTGTGTTTTGGTGGAACTAAACTAAGGGTCGGTTTGGTTCATCATTGAGCTATGAAAAACTGTTATGAGCTATGTAACATTAAAAGGTTGTAAGTTGTTTCGTTGAAACAACTATGAAACCTGCACACTATCTTTATTTTTCTCAAAATAGTTGTAAAACATTCCTGTATTTTCACTCATTTGGAAAAGTAGAAAATTGAAAGCCAAAAACAGGATCCAAGAGGTTAAGAAAATTGTACTAAGAAAGGTGAGCGTCTGTTTCTAGAAAATCAGCTTCAGATTCCACCTATTTTATTGGTGTTCTGTTTTAGAAGTAGAAATATTTTTTAAAGTTGAACTAAACACATTCTAAATTCTACTCTAGTCAATTGATATAAATACGAGTTTCAAACGAGCCCGTATGGAGATTTTGGACCCCTCTTCCCACAACAGATTCCCCATCAAGGTGCCGTCTGGCTCGCCGTCGCGATCAAGAAGCGTAGCAAGTGCACCATCCTTCACATGTTTTTTTTTCTTTTGATTTGAAAAAAGGAAGCGCCGTTTTCCGAACGAAGAAAAGAAAAGATAAGGTATAGGGAACGAGTGACCGTGCGAGGCAGCGCGGGTGGAGTGGGCCCCAGGGCAGGGTAGCCGCCAAGGCAGGGCGTTCGTAGGCGCTACGAAAGCTGGAGGTGTTCCTGTTTGCAGGATGACAATCGCATGGCCACGGTAAACCCTAGCCGCCGGGCCGGTCGGTCCCCTCGCGCGGGGGGCGGCGGCGCGAGGCGCGCGCTATGCCGCTATATAAACAGAGAGCCATCCATCCGATGCCTCCAACCCTCCCACCTGGCCACCTTGATCCCCTCCCCTGTCGGCTCTGTCTGTTGACTTCCCCCCATCGAGGTAAGGGACTAGCTCGATTCCTCTTCCGTCCTCCGATCCCGGCGGGGTGCTTGATTTGTTATCATTCACGGTTCTGATTCAATTGTTACTATTCAAGTTTTGTCTGAATTCTTCGATGCTTGATTCATTATTAGTCTTCAAATTTCTCTGAATTGTTCCCTAGCTTTTATCCTCCACGCATATACTAGTATACTAGATTACTAGCAGAATTGTTCCCTAGCTTTTGTCCTCCACGCATATACTGCTAGCACTAGCATATAGGCGTAGTACTTCCCAAAATCTTGTGTGCTGGCCGATCGCTCTTATGTCCCGCAACTATCAATCATTCAATCGTTTTTCTTTCTTTTACTTTTCTAATAATAAAGCCGATAGATCAAATCAAATAGTTATAATATATGGCATCGTCCACTTATTAAATCCAAACTCAAACTGGTACTGGAGATGCGACTAGTGTGCCCATTGTCTAATGGAAAAGACAGAGGGTCTCGTCTCCTATCTCCTCGAAAGGGGCCGGGCCTTCTGATATAGGTTCGAATCCTATTGGGTGCTTCAGTTCTAGTTTCTGCATCTCCAGTTTCATTTGCTCCACTGCCAGATCAGATTGCCACGCCAAGCACTCTCTCACATAGCCTGCTAGCTAATATCCGTCTGTGTATTCTTGGATTAGATAAATCATGCTTGCCTGCTTATATTTATTAACATGGCATCTTGATTTTTGTTTGCAGTATATTATTTATAAGCCATTCTTTTTCTCACACCAAACTGCATGTAATCCACGATCATTTCAGCGACATATTGATTTGGTTCTTGCTGCATGTATCTTTACATATTCATTTGGCAATTGTGTTGAATCTTATTTATCTTGCTTGGTTGCTCTTTATTCTGTATGAATTACTAAATGCAGATGGATGAATACTGACTGCATGGTCTCTGTTTTCTCATGGTTTCTCTTCATTCTGTATGAATTATTACTAAATACAGATGGATTAATACTGACTGCATGGTCTCTGTTTTCTTATGGTTGCTCTTCATTCTGTATGAATTACTAATTACAGATGGATGAATACTGACTGCATGGTCTCTGTTTTCTTATGACTATGTTGTCTTTGCTATTTCTAAACAAAAGAACAATTAAGTCGGCTTATATATATGTCCTTTTAATTTGCTGCTAGTCAATGAATTTCCACAACTGTTCTGTTAAAAAAATTCAATCTCTCAACTACTAATTGTATACTGTTAAAAAAATCAATCTCTACTAGTTGTAGTATATCTTAACTTTTGCATAACTCCGTACTATATGTATCCTTCTGCTAACTCAATCTCTCAACTACTAATTGTACTGTTAAAAAAATTCAATCTGAGCTACTAATTGTAGTATATCTTAACTTTTGCGTAACTGTGTGCTATATCCTTGTGCTGATGTTTGTGAATACAGCTAACTAGCCAGCTGCTCCCGTTGCCATGGGGAAGGAGAAGGTTCACATCAACATTGTGGTCATTGGCCACGTCGACTCCGGCAAGTCCACCACCACCGGCCACCTCATCTACAAGCTTGGAGGCATTGACAAGCGTGTCATTGAGAGGTTTGAGAAGGAGGCAGCCGAGATGAACAAGAGGTCCTTCAAGTACGCCTGGGTGCTTGACAAGCTCAAGGCCGAGCGCGAGAGGGGCATCACCATTGACATTGCCCTGTGGAAGTTTGAGACCACGAAGTACTACTGCACTGTGATTGACGCTCCTGGGCACCGTGACTTCATTAAGAACATGATCACCGGCACCTCCCAGGCTGATTGTGCGGTGCTCATCATTGACTCCACCACTGGTGGTTTTGAGGCTGGTATCTCCAAGGATGGCCAGACCCGTGAGCACGCACTCCTTGCCTTCACTCTTGGTGTGAGGCAGATGATCTGCTGCTGCAACAAGGTACTTTTGAAAGTTTGATTGATGCATCTACCTGCCGATTGTTGCATGTATATACTATCTGTTTATCTGTATATACTACAATATTATCTGTTCATAATTATCTGTATATACTGCAAACTAAATGAACTACTGCTGAATCAGATGGACGCCACCACCCCCAAGTACTCCAAGGCTCGATACGACGAGATCGTCAAGGAAGTGGGTTCCTACCTGAAGAAGGTGGGGTACAACCCGGACAAGATCCCCTTCGTGCCCATCTCTGGATTCGAGGGTGACAATATGATCGAGAGGTCGACGAACCTGGACTGGTACAAGGGCCCCACCCTCCTTGAGGCGCTGGACCAGATCAACGAGCCCAAGCGGCCCTCAGACAAGCCCCTGCGCCTTCCTCTGCAGGACGTGTACAAGATCGGCGGCATCGGCACCGTCCCGATGGGCCGCGTGGAGACCGGCCTCATTAAGCCCGGCATGGTGGTCACCTTTGGGCCCACGGGCCTGACAACGGAGGTCAAGTCGGTGGAGATGCACCACGAGTCGATGCAGGAGGCGCTGCCTGGCGACAACGTCGGCTTCAACGTCAAGAACGTGGCGGTCAAGGACCTGAAGCGCGGCTACGTGGCCTCCAACTCCAAGGACGACCCCGCCAAGGAGGCTGCCAGCTTCACCGCGCAGGTGATCATCATGAACCACCCCGGGCAGATCGGCAACGGCTACGCCCCGGTGCTGGACTGCCACACGTCCCACATCGCCGTCAAGTTTTCTGAGCTGCTCACCAAGATCGACCGGCGGTCGGGCAAGGAGCTGGAGAGCGCCCCCAAGTTTCTCAAGAACGGCGACGCCGGCTTCGTCAAGATGATACCTACAAAGCCCATGGTGGTGGAGACCTTCTCGGAGTACCCTCCACTGGGGCGCTTCGCGGTTCGCGACATGAGGCAGACGGTTGCTGTTGGCGTTATAAAGAGCGTGGAGAAGAAGGACCCGACGGGAGCCAAGGTGACCAAGGCGGCTGCCAAGAAGAAATGATGATGATCCTTCATGTATCCATGGTTCCTGGTCTCTTGCTGGTTACAGTATCATTTATGTTATTATTAAATAAGTACTATTTTGTTGGGTGGTGCTAGTAGTAGTTACAAAAGAACAATTTTGCTGGTTCAGTGTGTTCACAGTGTGTGGACGGTTGTGTTCGTGATTGCGTACCATAATAATATGCCTATATGTGTGGTGTGCCTGTCCTCTCATGTTGATTGATTGCCTTTTGGCTAATGGCTACACATAGATGCCGATTGCTTGCCTTTTGGCTAATGGCTACACATATGAACGGCCAGCAGTTGACCACTTGTTTTGGTACTCTGCCATTCTGTCATTGTTGATCTTGGACTCTCGGATATGATATGGTGGTCTAACCGGTGTTTACCGTTGTTGATCTCGGACTCTCGGATATGATATGGTGGTCTAACCGGTGTTTACCTTGATAGTACAATCATTTCTGGTGTGCTTGCTAATTCTAAATCGCTTTTTAGCTGTAATAGTATAACGACCTAAGTTCCAAGTACTAGCGCGTAGTGTATACACTTGGTTCTTCAAAAAAAGTTGTATACACTTCATTCGGTCTAACCCGTTTTGCATAATCACACTCACTCATTAGGCCTAGTTTGGATCCATATGTATCCACCTCAATCCACATGTGTTAAAATATTGAAGTGGCAATCCAACTCGATTTGGATACACGTGCATCAAACAAAGCCTTAGTATCTGCTCACACACAAATATGTTGTCAATCTTTTGATGAATATCAATCATTCTATCTGCTGCCGCAGCCTTGCTGCTGCCCTCTACTCTGCTAGTCTGCTGTGCTGCGTCTTCACTCTTCAGCTTCACCACATAACCCGAATGAATTGGCCCAGCATGCAGCTTTGTTTACTGGAAGTCAGCCCTGACTAAAATAATAACAACTCTCTGGTATTATCTGGAAAGCGAGAAATGATACTCGCTTTCAAAACAAAAAATGGTCGGTTTTGCAGGTTCATTACGCGGTGGCAGCAGACATCAAAATATCTACAACCACGGACAACTCAAATGCTGATCACAGCCAGCACGACAATGACAACACAATAATATCAGGTAATGGATCTTCTAATGCAGGAAGGCGAAACATACCAGGCGGTATTCGAAATAGCTCACAGGACTAGCGAATCTTCCATCTCCACTATATCAGGTGACTTTCCCAGCCTTTCTACCAGGTGCAAGATGCTATACTGATGCAGCAACAACTCCACATCAATTTGATCAACAGATAAGAAAAAGCAGGTCTCGGTATCTTCATCCTGGATCCCAGGAGAAGATCATTGATCCACGTCAAAGCATTAGCCAACACTGTCTCCTCTGTCCTCATGGCAGAAGCTGCTGCTCTCACTCTTGCAGGCATTATCACTTCTGCATTGCAGATTCAGAATATTTTCTTACTCACCGACAGCCAACAAATGGTGAACTTCTTCAATGGACAGGATCACTCAAGTCCACCTCAATGGGGGAGATCAAGCCGCTCACTCAAAAATTCATAAATATAACAGCTGGTACAAACTCGAAGGTGGCGAAAATTACTAGAAATCTAAATGCAACTGCACACAGCTTAGCCACTCAAGCTTTCAGATCAACATCTAGTTAGCACAATCATGTAAACATTATTTGTTCCAATTGTTATCATGTTTCCAGTTGCCCTATTAGAGAGGCACTGCAATCTGTAATCTGGGAACCTTATATTCCACTTGCAACGATGTGCTGCTAATAAAGTTTGCCATTTATAAACAAAAAAAAAAATGAATTCACTCATTATCAAAAAGTCTGCAGCAGCCTCACTACTAGTGGTCAGTTGCTATATTAATTTCTTTCTTTTCCTTTTTTTTTTTAAATCAATTTCTTTCTTTTTCATTTTTTAGCTGAATATCATGCTGCATTCAGGTCATGTACTCATGTCAGGGATGAAATAGCTTCAGTTAAAGCAAGTTAACTTATAAGAGCTAAGTTATATAATAGTTATTTTTTATTTATCTATAAATTTTTTCATTATTTGCCAACTGTTTTTTTTTTGGGGAACACCAATCTCTGCTGCCACTGCAGTCTGCGAGAAAATTAGATATTTGGGACTCCAAAGATTGACTCTTTGATCATGTTGACACTCGGGTGGATGACAAATGGGTCCATCTGTGTCTATAAATATGAGTTCAGTGTGAAATCTGCAAACGAACCATGTTTCTTAGTCCATTTTGCAATTGTCTCGCAGTCTTCAAGTCTGCAACTAATATTTTTCATCTCCAGCCGCCACTTCTCCACCTCCTCCCTACTGTTCGTCCTCCTCGCCGCCCACCATCTTACCACGCCACGCGCATCCAGCAGCACCGCGGAGGACGCGTGGCGGCGACGCGTCTCTGCCTCCCACGCGTCGAAGAAGGTGCCGGTCTTCCACGCTCATCCAGCGGCACCACGGAGGGGCGTGGCGGCGGCGCGTCGAAGACGGCGCCGGCGTGCGGCGTGGTATGCCTGTCTAAATCTGATGCCTGTTCATTTCATGCAATGCAGCTGATAGCAGTAGTAATGTTATGCTTACCTGCTCTGTAGGCCCATTTTTTTTTCTTTTGTGAGATTTGGTTGAATGTTCCTTTCAGTGTCACCATTGCCATTTAACAGCACCTTTGAGTGTTGTATTAGCTATCAATTAGGATGTAGTAAATGGGTACCCAATGGTGTTTTATCTGTTAGCTAACTAAATTCATTTTTCTCCCTAAATTAATTACGTAGCATGCCATTCTAGTTCATTTTATCAAGTTTTGGGTCGATCCAATTGACTTAAAACATGGCAGACTTGCATCCATAGCTATCAATGGAAAATATCTGAGCAGACCTTATTTGTTGATTTATTTATCATTGATAGTGCCTCTTTTGTCCTGTATATTTCTGTTTCATTTCTAGTTGGTTGGTAGTACTAGTTCAAGCTTCTCTGACTCCTTCAGAAAAGCATAGTAAATTAACAACTGAATTAAAATACTAGTTTTACCTACTCATGGTCCTTTAGGTATTCCTCCTGCAACATTGTCACATGCCTGCCGAAGAGATTGTTCATTATAGTGAACCCTTATGGCGGAAAGGGAAGCGGACAGAGTATTTTCCAGAATGAAGTCCTCCCTCTCACTGAAACTGCTGGTGTGCTTTATACGATGCAAGGTTTGGTGGTCTATGTTTATTCATCGTGTTTTTGGAATTATAGTTGTGATGCCTGTTGCTTTCTAAAAAATGTGAAACATGTTTAGAAACCAAGCATCGCCTTCATGCTTAGGCCTCGTTCGGTTAGGGCATTTTGATGCCAGGAATTGTTCCGGATAACGAAAACTTATATAAATTAAGTAATGGTTCCGGCCGAGAATTATTCCTGGTGTCCATTCTCCGGGAAACGAATGGGGCCTTAAGAGATTGCACATTCACTTGATCTTAGGAAGTATGATGGCATCATTTGTGTCAGTGGAGATGGTGTGTTGGTAGAGGTTAGCAAAGAACAACGTTTTCCGTATGCGAATGCAATTCTATGCAAGTTGTTACACTCTGAAAATTCTCGTGTTTTCAGATATTTGAGCACTGTTGATTTTTATTTGCTTGCTTGCTATGTTTTGGTTCTTTCTCTTATTGTTATTTTGTTTTGTTTTTAGGTTGTCAATGGTCTCCTGCGAAGGGAGGACTGGGAAACAGCAATAAAAGTACCCCTTGGGATCATTCTGGCAGGTACATTATCATAGCAGCTCCTTTATCATATTTATGTAATGATGCACATTAGTGAGTAGTACTATGTCTTAGGTTCATTCCATATGCAATCATTACAAAAGCCGTTTAATCAAGGTTAGTTGTAGCTTGTAGCTTTTTCAGTTTTTGTTCACATTCTAACATTTGTACACTTTGTTATTGTTTGTGCTCTAGGCAGACACTTCACGCACTACAATGTGCAACGGGTACTGGAAATGGAATGGCACGATCTCTATTGCATGCTGCTGGTGAACCATTCTCTATATCTAATGCCGGGTTTGCAATCATCAGAAGTCAGTATTTTTTTTTCCTTTTTTTGTCACCTTTCACTAGCAGCCCCGTCATCTCTCTTCATTGTCTCGCCCATTTATGTGTTTGAACAATTGCTGATGCAGCTTCTTTCTGTTACACAGGTCATAAACGTGCATTTGATGTTACTTCTGTTATGCAGGGAAACTGGGAAAGACAAGGTTCTTTAGTGTCCTGATGCTTACACGGGGTATGCAGCATATAATCTCTATGCTAACTCTTTGCAAACAACAGTTGAGAACTTAGGCCACCTTTCTCAGAGATTGCTCTGTCACTTTCTGTTTTGCTACAGTAAAATGTAATTGACAAGCCTGAAAATGATCTATGAACTGCAGGTCTGGTGGCTGATATTGATATTGGATCAGAGAAGTATAGGTGGATGGGAAGTGCTTGCCTTGAATTTTATGTGTACTTTCTACCCTAAAATCTTATATCATGTACTTGATTTTATTTTTCATATCTGTATGTTTCTGTCTTTTTTTTTATATAATGGACTTAACAAAGAGGTGCTGCAGAAATTAGATGCTCATCATCGAGACAGATGCATATCTTTCTTTACTACTTAGTTCCAAGTTCAAACTGTTGGAAATGTCTTTTTATTATTGTAAATGTTGTATAGCTTTATGTAGATGTGTGTGCATGCATTGTAGCCATAAAAGAAAAGATCATGGTTAACATACTACATGCCTGAAAGAATGAAACTTCCACAATATGATGGTTGCGCTCTAGTGCACATAATAGATGCAGAGGATATTGATATCGTATTGCATAAGTCGTAGCACCTTTATGGCTTTATGTTACTCTTTCTCTGAGTATTTTTGGATCTTTAAAAGCTCACACTGTGCTCTGCCATGTACAATGCAACTTCTTTTCAGCTCCTACTCCGCATGCTGAACCTGCGATGGTACAATGGGCTTGCCCTTTTTGTTCTAGGACCAGAATCTAAAGAAGTTGGTGATCCTGTGGAGCAAACTACCAGTTATGAAACAAACGGAGTTAGCAAAGTATTTCGAGAAGACAGAGCAACTGACAGCAATTGTGAAAGGTGTGACTGTAGGCCCATCGATCAAAGAAGCTGATCTTGCATGGAGATCCATGAATGGTCCATTCGTTTCAGTTTGTCTTGGCTATATTCCTTTCGCTAACGAAGATGCCATGGCAGCACCAAAGGCAAAGGTCAGTCTCTCGCCATTTAGTGCATTGAGGTTCCGCTGTGCTCTGTAGCTTGATTCGTTCTTGTTTGTTGCCATGCAGTTTGCGGATGGCTACATGGATGCTGCTATAATCAAAGATTGCCCGCGGTGGGGTGTTCTCGGGCTCGTGTTCCAGATGAAGGACGGCGCCTACATCAACTCACCATGCGTTGAGTACTTAAAGGTGCGTTGAGTACTACTCACCGTGTCCCTGAAGTCTATCAAACATAACGAGGTGTGCTGGGCAATTCTGACGAACAACAGGTGAAGGCGATCCGGGTGGAGCGTATCATCGACTAAGACGGGGAGGTACTCGTGAGAGGCCATGGGACCCGCTCCCTTTCCTCATGCCAAACAGCAGACGAATTCTGACGAACAACAGGTGAAGGCCCGGGTGGATCATCGACTGACGGGGAGGTGGACCCCATGGGCTGAGGTCATCCAGTGACACCAGGGGCTGAGATTTGGATTGCACGCTACTCCCTACATTCGAAATTATAAGGATTCTAAGAACGTTGAAAGCATCTTAAATTTGACTAAAATTATAAAAAAAAAACTATAAAGATTTATGACATCAAATAGATATACTATGAAAATATAATTAATGAAGAATCTAATGATACTTAGTTTGCATCGTAAATGTTATTATCTTATGATATAAATTTGATTAAACTTGAGATGCTTTGATTCTCCAAGATTCTTGGAATGACTTATAATTTGGGATGGAGTGGTCATATTCGCTTGAACTAAAATTTGGCTTAGAGCAAGGTCAATAATAGAGCCAAATCATACAACGGTTGTCTCCTATTTATCTATAAAAAGTTATTATTATTATTATTATTATTATTATGTGGTACCATGTCTTACTTTCTCTTTCCTACTCCTCACATACACTATTATTTGGGTCCACAGATGCCTATGCCTCCGTGCCTAGCTTGGTGCTAAAATAAGAGCCAAGCTCTCTTCTCTCCTCCACATCAATAAAAATGCTGACTAGCTTGACTATAAGCCCATTATTGTACCTGCTCTTATACTAATGCTTATATTGATTTGTTGTGAGAGATAAATATTGTTTGTTCGCTGAAAAGTATCGGTGAAGTAGTTGAAGCGAATAGGGCCAAGCTATTGCGTTGGCACGTGAATTGAGGGTCAACTGCATGTTAACTGGATCAGATGAGCATGTACTACGAAGTTCCAACGAATATCTTGAAAGCGTAACATGTGAAATGCCTATAGTATAGGTAATCATTTTTAGGAGATAATATGTGGTAACTGTCATATAGATCAATGGTCCACTGTTACTTCGGAGTAACTTTTTAGCAAAGCCTCTGTGTAGTCTGGAAAAATGGGCCTTATGTGACGGTGTGTTTGGTTGGTGCCCTGGCAGCTCGTCCTAAACTTTTCTAAAGCCATTTCGGTATAGAAAATTGTTCACCACAGTCAAGTATCTAAAAAATACGCTCAAACCCAACCAACCTTTAAAATAAAGGGACGAGATCCATTCTGATCTCTTCTTTCTCTTACTCACTCGAATCCAACGGATCAGAATGACTCATCCCTCGTTTCCCTCCCGCGTACACCCCACGCGCGCCTGCTTGATCAAACCTCATCACTCATTCCTCATTTCCCTCCCGCGTACACCCCACAAGCGACGGCGCGCCGCGCGAGGCGCGACTCTCCCTCTCCCCAACGCCCGCTCTCCCTCTCCCCGAGGCCACGCTCCCTCTCCTCGACGCCCTCCCTCCCGCAGTCACGCTCCCTCTCCTCGACGCCTCTCTCCCGCACCATCACGCCGCAGGGACGCGCGCCGCAAGGGCTGCGCGCCGCCAGGGAGGGGCGCCGCCAAGGAGCCGGACACCGGCAGGGAGGGGCGCCGCCAGGGACGCGTGCTGCGGCTGGTCGGCCGCCGCCGTCTTCTGCTCCCTCTTCGCCGTCGTCAACGCAGGGCTTCGCGCCGGCAGGGACTCGCGCAGGCAGGGACGCGCGCCGGAGTGCCGCACGCGTGCTGCGGCTGGTCGGCCGCCGCAGGGCCGGCGTGCTGCTGCTGTTCACCGTCGCGGACGCCACCGTCTTCTGCTCCCACCACCAGCAGCAGCAGGTGCTCCTGATGCAGCAGGCACTGCAGCAGCAGTACCAGTCCGGCTTACTCGCCGCCACGGCAGCGGCGGCCATGAGCCAGGTCGTCCCCTCGATCCTCGCCTGTGGATTTACTATACATTTTTTTTTGGTGATTGGGTTCTCACTCCCTTCATGCTTTTAGCTAAAGGGATGTTATTTTTCTTTTGGTACTGGCTTAGAAGATAACGATGCTCTCTGTTTTACTAGCTCGTACATGATAGTGCATATATGGTTACTAAATTGAAATTTGCTCCTGTAGGATGCTTGGCTCAGTCAACAGTACAAGTTAGTCACTGCCCTCCCTCTCCCAGGCTCCTCTTATTTGATCCTTGATCTCTGGCATGCTGATTTTTCTATAGATGCATAATGGAGTAGTAGTTTGGCGCAAAAATTAATAGCATTTTTAATTTCATTTCCCCCTATTGTGTTGATCGCAGATGAAGATTTCAATTTCATTAGTTGATCAAGAGCATAGTAGTAGCCTTGCTTGTATACCCTCAAGCCAGTCCCACTCATGAAGGGGAGATATCTCAGTAGCGCACAATCTGGAGGTGAGTTTCATCCATTTGAAATTGGTACATGACATTATGTAGAAAATGCGTTTGATCATAATGTGTCTGATATATGTATTCTTGTTGACTAAAAATATTTACTTTCATCTAAAATATTCTTGGCTGAGCTGCCATGGTTTCAGCTTGTCCGGCTGGTGGACTGTTGGGCAGGTGTTCAGGTATGCAGATATAATCAGCGGCAAAACAATATTCATTTTACAGTTCATTTCTATACAACCATAACATCAAAATTTAAAAAGCATTGGTGTCTAGAAATTGCAGCATCAGAGTATGAACTGTGACAGAAAAGCCAAGTATGAACTGGTGCACATGGGATGCACTTTACACCCATCTTACTAGAGGAGTGAGGGAAAGATTAAAGAGGTATTTACAAATCTCACATTTTTGCTAATAATGATTCCTATCACATAATACGTATACTCTGACCCATACTTTATATTTCCCTTATTTTTAGCCTTGGAAAAGGTGGAGTTTCTTTTCATTAGTGACAATGGGTGACAATCTGTCAGTATGGATCCGGTGGGAATTGCTTGCTTATTTGATAACTCAGCCAAGTAAGCAGACTAAACATATTACACTTGCAGACATATTTCATAAAAAGTCTTCAGCCTCAAAATGCTCCTCGTGCTTCTCTATTTCTAACATTTACCACAACATTCATTTGTGAAAAAAGTACGCAGTCTAAGTTTGTTAGAAAATCATAAATGATAGGACCTAGGATGCCAAGTTAGAGATAAATTTAAACTTTGTGCTGTATGGGCATTTTGTTGACAGATAGCATCAATATATCTAAACATTGAATTGCATGATACAGGCAGTAAGACAGTATGTCGATATCTACAGTAGTTCTGAATGTGTACTTCATTTACGGATGGGAATGGTTTGGCACAGGTAGTAAGACAGTATGTTGATATCTACAGTAGTTCTGAATGTGTACTTTATTTACGGATGGGAATGGTTTGGCACGGCGCAGGAGGCGAAGGCGGTGGTCAGCGTGACCGTGGAGGGGAGCGTCGGCCTGGTGAAGGCCATGGTCAGGCTGGGCGCCAGCGTCGGAGAGGCCATTGCTTCCGTGGTTGAGAGGTACGCTAGGGAGGGGAGAAGCCCGTGCCTGGACCCGGCTGCAGCCTGCAGCCGAGACCTTCCAACTTCACCACTCTCATTTGAGCCTTCAGAGTAAGCCACCACACCAGTACGCTTTATTTTTGCAAAGAAATTTCCTTTCCTTTGACAATTAGTGTCACCGGGTATCATCTTTTCTTCTCAAGGATTACTAAGTATTATTTTGGTGTAAGAACTGCCGTCCAAACATTTTGGTGGTTCTGTGTGTATTTTCCATGTTAGTTGTGGACACTGGAATTCAGATTAAGGTTTCTGATTTAGTTCCTGGGACATAATAAACTTATTATCCTTTTTTTGAAGGGATATTGAACTGAGATTAAGGCAACCTTAGCTTACTGATCTTGTGATCCACATGTCTAGATATTCTCAAGTTGTTTTAACTCATAGATACACCATTTTTTTCTTCCCTCCTTTTGCTTCCGTTGTCATGGACTTTTATATGCTTGCTTGGTCAGCGTGGTTTTCTGAATTGCCCGGAAGAATTTCCCCATGCTTTAACTTCGCTTCCTGCACAAATTTTCTTGACAGTGAAACTTTTTCAGCTCACGATTATTCTCCCAGTTACATTATCATCTTTGGTGGCTAGCTAATTCCTGCTCTTGTCTTGCTCCAAGAGTACATGTACAGCAGGCTTCAGTTCAGGTGACCTTGTGACTGCACTACAATGCATGCATGCCTCCATCTGTACCACCTGCAAGAAGTGCAAGTGATCACTTGCTGCTACACGTTTCTGAATTGTTTCGCCGTGTGCCTGCAGCTCAGGCGCTCAGCTGGTACTTTACGTTTGTGCAGGGGTTTTCGTGAAGCAGATAGTGAACCCGGCTCTCGGACGTGCTCATGGGCTCCAATGGCCTCACCAAGGCCTCACTCCCCTTCCTCAATTACCCTGTGCAAATCAACCAAGGTAAAATTGGCCCCTTCTTTTTTTTCACTGTTCCCCATACGCTGGAAAATATAATACTCTAAAAAATGTTGGAAGAACAATGCCCAATGTCTTTTTCAGCTGGCAATTTGAGTAGCATTGTAGCAGCAAATTTCCTGGGTTCATGATTTCTTTTTCATCTGTACCTTCTTTACAGGGTCTTTTGTTTTTGTTTTAGCAGAAATACAGTTCCTTTTTTGTGAGGAAAAAGAAAAAGAAATATAGTTCTTGTGATATTACAATGCAGTCTGAATGACTGAAACATCAAACACAGTTAGCCCAAGCAGTAGGAAAAAAACAAATACGCCATGCTCTTTTATTGGTATATATCCTTCAAGGAATCCCTCTTTGCAATTCTTTATAGAGAAACAATCTCAAGGTCTGAACACTGCATTCCACATCCTGATGACGAGGATCAGATCCACTCAAAAAGTGTTGCTACTTGCTAGCTACGTAGCTTGAGTTACTGAAAAGGAGCTGGGAAACATGAAGTTGATTTGAATACAACTATTTTGGTTTATATGCATTTTGACTTGCCTTGGTGCCTCCCATTTTAGACTTCAATATAAATATTTTGTTGAGTCACTATTATAAATTTATAATGAACTAAAGTTCCACATGTCTATGCAACCACGCAAAATTTTCTTGTTTGAGATAGTCTGCATAGGATCCATAAGTTAACTTTGGACTTAATGTGGCAGCTCTGCGGGTGGCTTCTGAATGTAGGGATGTACATATTGACTACTACCATTGAGATCAGGTTTCTCTATTTTTATTCCTACCATTGAAGTCAAATGAGGTTGTGATGTATAATTGTATATATTGAACTGTTATTTCTATAATATTGTAGAACTGACTCTGTTGATTCCAACAAAGCATAAGTGTCCCTGTCTAGATGATCTTGCACTTTTAAGTTAAAAGACATAATACCTTGGTTAGAATAAGATGAAGGTGTGGGATAATCTATTGTTCTGTCTGAACTGGGCTTCAATTCTTGGAGCAAGCTCTAATGGTAATTCATTTCTCTAAGTCCATAAGAATACTTAAATTATTATTGAGTTTGAGAACTTGTCCACTTCTAGAGATGTTAGCATTTAACAAACACAGTATTAGATTTGGCAACATCTTCCATTTTATTACTTATACAAATGCCTTCCTTTTCTTATATCCTGTAGATCGGTACAACAAATTATTGATGCTATTTTGGGTCTGGACATTGGTGATCCTCCCTGCGCTATTGCTGCAGGAGCTCTTTTATTTGTTTTGGCAAGTGGTATGAGTACCTCTTAAATCAGAGAAGAGAAGCACTTAGTGGCAAAATCGCATGGCCTTGTTGGGCTTCTGTGCAATAGAAAACGAAGTTCTCATGACAAATACCTTCTAGTTTAATTTTGATATTATTTTCTGCCACACTGCATTTGTTGTAGGCTTTTAAAGTCAGATCGTTGAGATTGGTTGGTAGCTATTTTTAAGTTCAACATTCATCTGTCCTCAAGGCGTTTATAGTGCAAAACTGCTATTTCTATAATTCCCACCTCCAGAAATGCCATCCATTAAGTTATCCAACCACATGATCTGATGCATTTCTCTGAATTCTCTTTCCTTTATCATCTGAATCAGATAAATGATAAGGGTCCACTCCGGCTAAGTTCTCGAGCTTTGCTTCCTGACGCAGATTCAGAATTCAATAGCGGTTCAACAAAAGAAAAGGCCCCACAGAAAGATGATGTCATCAAGATGACAACAAAGAGACCCAGGTGCAAGAAACTGTTTGAGCCATCTCTCATAACTTGTGCTTTGGGATCATGTGAATTGTACTGTAATTTAGTTTGAGTAATTTTGTAATTTAGTTTACATGAATCTTTTTTGCTATTTAAAACTAAAGGTGTCTGGTTCAGTGACACTAACGTGTGTTTCAACAGTTCCAAATTTGTAGAGAAGACTGCACCTATATACATCTGGCAAAGGGTCATCTGCAGCTCGTCTTACAGCATCTGTAACTTTTTTTTTTTGCGATTACAGCATCTGTAACTCGAGATGGTAGCTTGATAGATTAACATTGAATTAATGCGACCCATAGCGTTAGCACGGGCACTACACTAGTATATATAATTGCTCAATCCCATCTGCCAGGCGACTGAAATCGACGGCCTGGGCTACAGTGATTAACAGATGGCATTGGACAGCAGTGATAGGCTTTTGTGTTGAACTAGATGTAACAGATGGCATTGGAGTGACAATGTGATTCTCAATTCTTGATTCTTGCACCAAATTCTAGAAATGAAACAAAATCCTTTGATTCACAACATTGCCAAATGAGACAAAAAAAAGCTTTCTATTTGTCTTTGAGCTCACTGCAATATCAAATTCTGGCATCATTATGCTTGTATTAAGGCACTTTTGTTTAACGTATTGTAGATAGCAGATAAATGCAATCGATCAGATAGTAAAGGCTGATAAAAGTAGAACTACTAATCCCTGTTCTAGACGGGGACCAATTGAGTTACAATCCTCACAAGGGTCACGTTCGATTCTCTTATAATCCGTCTTTTTCAGCTTGTTTTTTTAGCCGGAACAATGTTTTCTCTCACAACAAATCAGCCGGAACAGTGTTTCGGCTTGTTTTTTCAACGAAGCGAACGGGGCCAAGATGTTAAAAAATACTCCATCCGTTGCCAAAACGTCTATAGTTTGGAATGGAGAGAGTACTTAATTAATCGGTGAAGCCTTTCAAACAAACTCTTCTAGTGTGAGGTTACAAACTCTTCATGCAAAAATAACCAAGGGCTCGAGTAGAGGCAGACATCAAATCAGCGATGACCACGGCCTAAAATGCACAACCATTTTCTCTTCACTCTGTGTTTAAGTGGTTTACTTTCTAGGTAGGTGAGTACCGCCTCTGTTTCAAATTATATGTTGTTTTTTATTTTTTTTTAGATATAGCTTTTGCTATGCACCTAAATATATGTTATGTCTAGATACGTAACAAAAGCTATGTATCTAAAAATGTCAAAATAACTTATAATTTGGAGCAGAAATAATATTTTGTAGCATCTCATGTTCAAAAAAAAGAAGTGTGAGCTAGGAGTAATCCTCTACCTTGAGATAAAACAATGTCTGAAGATTCACCGTTGATGCATGATATCTACTTCAGCTTTTAGGTGTTTATTTAAGGCCGCGTTTAGTTTTCAAAATTTTTTGCCTCCTACAGTAAAAGAGCATGTTTGGACACATGCATAGAGTACTAAATGTAGACGAAAAAAAACTAATTGCACAGTTCTCGGCAAAATCGTGAGACGAATCTTTTAAGCCTAATTAGTCCATGAAAAGCCTTAAGTGATACAGTAACTCACATGTGCTAATGACCAATTAATTAGTATTATTAGATTCGTCTCGCAGTTTCCTGATGGGTTCTGTAATTTGTTTTTTTATTAATATCCAAAAATTCCTCCCAACATCCTTCCGACACATCCGATGTGATACCTAAAAATTTTCACCTCCCCAACTAAACACACCCTAAACCATCCAAAGCATTTGTGACATGTACCAAATAAACAGACCCTGAATACGCGTTTGCGAGGCTTGTGAAAGAAGACAGACGACTTTCGCCTGCTCGGGACTGAGCGACTGGCCGACTGGGAAGCGAGGCGACTTTAGAGAAAATTTCTTATTTGGCTCCGATTGAAACTTACCTTTCTTTTTTGGCCCTGAAATAAATTTTTTTTTATCTATTTGACCTCATTTGAACTTTTGATTTCTAATCTGGCCTTACTGTCACCTCCGTCCAAGTTGATCAAGATTGACTTGTCAGGTTTTTGTTAAACTGACAAATGTCCCTGGGATATTACGGGGCCCAAAGAGTCAGGCATGTCTCTCCTTCGTTCATCTCCTCCATCTATCTCGTCTCCCTCCCACTCTCCCTTCTCAACCCTAGCGGCGGCTTGGCGGCTTGGTGCGCGGCGGGGCGGCAGGCTGAGCGGCGCAGCCAGGGCACAAGGCGGCGTTGCACGACCTGGGGGTGGTGCGGCCTGGGCGCTAGTCGGCGGCCTGAGCAGCGCATGCTGGGCACTAGGGGGTGCCAGCTCGTATTGAATGGAGGCCAACTGCAATCGTGTGCGGGGAGGCAGGTGTGATTTAGAGAGGAGGAGACCGGATCCATGGCGTCGAAGCGGATCCTCAAGGAGCTCAAGGACCTGTAGAAGGATCCACCCACCACATGCAGCGCAGGCGATTTAGATTCCGCCCGCCCTTCCTCTTCCACTGCTACAGCTTTACTTTTTTTAATTTTCCATGATGGGAGACGACTTCTTCCCTGCGTTTGGTTGTCAGCACGGTGCGATTCTTCGTGCGTAGTTGCCAGATCTGCGTATACATCCACTGGGGACGGTTGTAAATAGTGATCGCAAATTTTGAACGGTGTAGGTTGTTGGTGGGATAACGAGCGTGTGTTGTGTAATTGTGTAATTTAGGAAAAGGATCGTAGCTTGTCTATAACTCTATATGGTTCATTTGGACATACGGGTGTTCATTCCTGCCGTCCCTCTAGGTTTGCTTATTAGATCCGGAGAGGGGCCTGCCTCCTGCTGGTCATTTTTTTTTGTCATGTTCAGGTTCCTGCATCAGGGTCGCACAGGGCAGTTACATCGTCCTGCCAGTAAGAAATTCACCTTTCTATTCAGGCGGGTTGAGTAATTTTGTCGGCATCAAGCAAGCCATTGTTGTTTAGAAAAGTGCAGCGCTCACGCGCCATGGTAGTCATGTACTTGAGCATGCAAAGCTGCTGAGTGCTTCCAGGGCCATCAGCCCCTACACTTGTATGCTGATGTATGTACATAACAACAGTCTTCAGTTGTACTTGTACACAGAACTAGCAATTAGTTTCCATTTGTTTATGCACGTCAGTTCATATGCAGCCTGTTCGCTTGCTCGTATACGATCGTGGATTATAAACTGGAACAGTATTTTTCTCTCATACTAAACCAGTTAGCAGTAAATAATCCACGATCGTCTACGACGAAACGAGCATGCTGATGAATTATTGGACCCCCATTCCTGTTACACCAGTTGTCCACTTATTTCCTAGATGGCTAGATCCCAATTAGAAGAATTACTGGCATGGAACGTCTCCAACTAATTCTGAATTTGACACTTATGTGCTGCTTGTCAACAAATATCCACACTGCCCATGACATATTATAATCTATGCACGCATACTATGATTTCTGTGAAATTGTTAGCTCTTTATTTTGCCATTCCATTCTATACCGGACCACTGGTTTGATTTAGCCTGTTTAATGTGAGAACCAACCTTGTTCTTTGCAAAACTTAGCTCTATCTACACATGCGCATTAGCAATCCAACTGAATCTGAAATACCTGTCTCATCATTTATTACATTTTGCAGGTTGCATTCAAGACAAAGGTTTTCCATCCGAATATCGACAGCAATGGGAGCATCTGTCTTGATATCTTGAAGGAACAATGGAGCCCTGCTTTGACAGTTTCCCGGGGGCCAAGGGCGGCACACGGCAGGTGGCGGCGCACGGACGCCAGGCACGGCTTTGCCAAGGCGTGGGCGGCAGACGGCGAGGCACTGACGGGGCCGTGGGCGGTGGCGGACGCCAGGCGCAACGGCAGGCTCTGTGGGAGGCGCGGCTTTGCCAGGGGCCGTGCGGCAGGCAGCGGTGGAGTTGAGACTGAGCGGAGCTCGTGTTTTTTTTTTGGCGATGGTTGTGGAAAGGAAAGCGTGTTGCTTTTTTTCCATGGCCCTGGAACCGCTGCTGGCATTGTGATGCAAACGCTACTATAAACAACTTTGAGCAGGCAAATTAGCATGGAACAATCAAGCACCAAACCCCACAAATGCTCTTTGGTTCCTCATAATATCTGAGGGGTAACTTGGTCATTTCATGTACCACTTAACACCGTTAGAGGCCGCAGTTAACGGTAAGGCCAGATTAGAAATCAAAAGTTAAAGTGGGGCCAAATAGATAAGAAAATTTATTCCAGGGCTAAGAAGAAAAGCAAATTTCAATCAGGGCCAAATAAGAAATTCTCTCTTTTACCTTGGTGCAGGGGGCACGTGAGCGGATTGGAAGACCGGAAGCAAGCGGAATTTGCCGTGCCAGGACGACGCAGCGCATCGGCTGCCCAGTCCTGCCTGACCTCTCCCCCTGCCTGTCTCTGCCTGCGGGCAGCGTGCTCCGCTGCCGAGCGTGACTGCCTTTGGCTTCTCGCACACGCGAGCTGATCCGGTGACCGGTGTGCTTCTGGTGCTGGGGACTGAAATTGAACTCGGGACGGGGAGGCCTCTGGCCTCGTGACGCGGAGGATTCGGCTTGCCTTGGCATGAGGCGGGGCGGATGCGGATGCGGATGCATGCGGACGCGGGGGTGCTGGTCCTGGTCCTGGTCGTTAAGAAAGAAAAGGCCCGCCTTGATTGACGTATACTACTCCGTAGTGGCCAGTGACGGTGGCCTCCGCAACGTGTGCTTGAGTACGTGCATGCGGGGCGCCAACGCCATTATTTTCTGGGGGATGCTCGCCCGCCCGCAACCGCAAGCGACTGCGGTACGGGCCTTTAATTTCCTTGGGTTTGGGCGTACGTGTCGGCAGATAATTGTCAGTACTGGACCCGACTTCTCATGCTAATCCGATCCTAGTATTTTCTTTTGTCTGTGTTGCAGAGGCTTATATACTAGTACGTATATAGCATACTTGTATATTTGATGAAGAACAGAAACGGAGAGATTATGTGTTAGGTAAGTTCGTTGTACAGATTCGGAATTGAGCTCATGATTTATCAACTACCGGGAGAGCGTGAGTTGAGAGTTGAGACGCATGCGGACCATCTGGCATCTGTATACCTTTCGCACATCGATCTGTTGCCTTCCGCCATATGAACGGGCAGTCCCTTATCAAAAAAGAAAAGAAAATCTTTTTGCGCGTACCGATGGCTGGCTGCATGAAACGCATGGTCGCATGGAGTGATGGGAGAGAGGCCATGGTACTACTGCTGTAGCGACAATGCATGGTAGTACTACGACGAGAGGGCTAGCTGGCACATGCATGGCAGGTGGCACATGCATGCATGCATGCCTCGTTTCTGCGTGACATGCATGCACCATGCATGAGGAAGAGCTGCCGTGCCAGGGTCCTCTCTGTAGTCTGTACGTACTCCTGTCCTCTCTCCCGCTGCGCCACTGATCCTCTGCTCTGCTCTGAAGGGAGGCCGGGAGCGGGAGGGGACTGCATGCTGGACTGCTACCCGATGGGCGATGGATGCCGAATTGCCGATGCGATCCAGCTCTCCAGTCCAGCCCCCATCGATTGCTTGTCCAGCTGGTCCATCCATCCATCCATCCGTTCCTATCCTATCTCTTTTGTACTCTATACTCCGTACAATACGTTATTATAGGCTGAGCCTTGCGGACTGCTGAGAGACGACCGTGATATATAGTAATTCTTTGCATATCAGCGAGGAGAGAGTTGGCGGAATGGGCTGATGAGCGAGTGCTGCGGGTTGAATACTCGTTCAAATCATGCATACTTCGCAGAGGAGCAAAAGCTAAAATTAGATCATGTCTGTTAGGATACCTGGTTCCCAAGAACATGGATCCAAAATTGAAGGAGGCCTACTACACTAGAGGGTACCATATGAATTATGCAACCTCTTGTTGTGTGGCCATTTGAAATAAAGTTATATTTATGACTATTATATAAATTTATACCACCACACTGAAATTTTTATGTAAAATAATTGAAATAATAATTGGCCCTAGCCTCCAATAGATCTCCGTTTCCATCCCAGTCTCCCAGACGTGGGCGCAATAAGAAATTCCATTTTTATATAAAAAATATATTTTTTTCTTTCTCTGGATCAAACTGTGGAGATCCAATCGATAATCACACGTCCAGCCAGTGGTGCTACAGGTACCTCTGTTTGAGCCGCCTTAGCCGTCGCTGCCCTCACCCACCAGGCTACACAATAAAAAAAAACTGAAAAATGAAAAAACAATTTCTATGTGATGGCAAGTCAAGGCAACCCAACCAAGCCAATCACGCACACAGCCTCACAGTCACAGGCATGGCAACAGAGACTCCGGCCGTCGAACATCCCGTGGCTCTAGCGCACACGCATGCATGCGTCTTTTGCGGGCCATGCATGCACCGATCCACGCACAGGCACGGCACCCGCCGTCCTCTTGTTTATCCATCGATCGATGTCGTTTTTTCTTTTCCTCTCGTTTAACAGCTCTGCGTTTTTCTTCATAATATATCATATGATTCGTCCTTTTGGCATATCTGATGGTGACAAGTAAACAGGCTACCATTTCTTTCGATAAAATAATTGGACACGCGAATCTGAGCGACCGGGCGAGTGAGGTTGCTGCTGTTTGCACGCACAAACTCTTTTGTAATTTTATCCAATCCATTAATTAATCAATCGTTGAACTTTCCAAACGGTGATTAACTTTGCTGTGGGTGCACTTGCATGCATATTTAAGGGGGTAGATTCGTACCCCCTCTGATCCTGAGTAGTTTCGTGCTAGTTCTTTAAGTAATCCATTAATTAGTACTCATGACAGGCTATGCCAATACGAAGTAGTACGTCTTCTCTCCTTCTCACGAGACTAACCTTAAGCGCCGCCGTCCACCACTGCTAGTCCCCCCTCCCTTTCCCTCCGACATCTCACCGAAAGCCGGAGGGAGTGGGAATTCATCGTTTTTATAAGTTTTCTAGTAGATCGAATCCTTATGGTTAGGGTCTCTTCATGCCAATATTTTTTTGGTACTAGGGATTTATCTCCTCCTCCTCTCCAGTGACGGCGAGGGGGCATGGTGAAATCGTTTTCTCCATAGCGACTCTATTGAAGATTAGGACGACAACTACAGCGTCATCAACTTAACCGACATGACGATATGGAGACTTTTCTTCTCGGACGGCGACATCAAGGCGGAGATGACGTCGCCGCCATAGAATAAATTTCTTCGGTCTCTTCTCCGTTTTGTTATGGTTAGATCTGGCCATGATGAAGGACTAGGGAGAATAAGTTTCAGATCAATCTTCCTCATTTTTCGGTGGCAAAAAGAAGAAGGATGACACAAGAAAGAAGAAGTTTCTCAACTCCGCATGCATGGATGTTGGTCGTCGTTCGATGGGCATCTATTTCTCAGGCCTGTTGTTGAGTGTTTGCCTATGCGGTCATCCATACGAAGCGTCAAATAATAGGTTTGGTTTTGAGATTTGGAGCTATTCACAGTGTGGGTACAATTTAGATGAAAATCAGTTTCTGGATATATACAGTGTATTTCAGAGTGCTTGTAATGTGTTGATATACCCAGCTATTATCTAATATAATTCTTCTTTCGTCGAAAAAATAGCACTCATGATAGTAGATTCGTGGTTCTTTAAGTTCATGTGTTGTTCTTGCAGTATATAAAATTTCTCAATAATGGATTTTGTGTCACGCGGATTTGTAGTATTTAGTATTGCAAAGGAGGCTCCTCTATTCAGTTAAGAGTCCCGACAAGCTGTTTTAGCTATAAATACATGCATATATTTGCTTCATGCAAATACAATATTATCTCTCAAAGTCCTATTTTACCCCATGTAAAAACCGGTCGATATAAATGAAAAAATCACCGTTTTTGTATGCTAAGCACTATTGATACCTTCCTAAATAAAATCTATGTTTTCAGTTATATAATTTTTGACATCACATAAATATTATTGACCATTTCAGTTGTTTGTCTTGCTGAACAAAACCATGTGTGGTACACAATGGAAGTTGGAAACACACAGAAGCAAAACAACACCTATAGGGGAGCATTACATGCTCACAACATAGAAAAGCATGAAAATCAATGTTATTTCATATTTTAAGAGTGGATGTTATACTTTGTCCATAATTTATTTGGAATACCTCTACTTTACATAGAATGCCTGAAACCCACCTATTCTACAATAGATATGTTTCTATTGAACCAATCACTTTAGATAGTTCACATTAGGATGTGTGTCGTTCACTCCAAATAATAACTCAATAAACAACTTCAATTACTAATGAATGATGCAAGATTTCCAAGGTTGGTGTGTATATATAGTCTTTCTACACTTATAACTCTCATAGCCAAAACAATAGATGTAAATGGTATTAACTCCAATACTTCCGAAGACAGGATACATTGAAGCACTAGCTATCAAGTGCTATCTATAACTTCTACACAAACCTATATGACTTAAAAGATAAGGGGTGCATTTCCATTGCTAGGCCTCTCAAAAACCACACGACTCACAAAATGGAAACCGCATCCAATAAAACCAACCTACGCAGAAAGGACATGGTACTAGAATAGTAGAACATCTATTTCTCCGCATAGCTCATTTGCTCTCTTGCATAACACTCGAATTAAGATATCTCTTGCGACATCGATATACTTCGATGCAAATGATCGCTTTGGATATTTTTTTAATCAAGCTATCTCTCGCAAAATTGATATACATTGATGCAAATGATCGCTTTGGATAATTTTACATGGGATAGGTGCTCTTTTAATTTAATCTTGTTTATGGAGTGACAAAGATTTATTGACGCATGTATAAACACTTCCTCCGTTGTTTTTAGATGTTGTATTCATCTTTGGTACACAAACCAATAAGATAGTTAGCGTCGGGTTAATCGTTCTTAGTTTTTTTTATCTCCCGTTTATTAATGTTGCATCGTATTCGCCCTCTCGTCGCTTTACCTCCCTTCTTGGCATGGAAATCGATCGCTAACTTACCGAGCCTTGTGATGTCTTTGTACTACTTCACCTACATGTCAGATTCAATTTTGTGGAAGAATCAAGGTGTACATGCAACACCCTTAACTTCATGACTCTCATGCCAAAGCACCAGACCAGAATATGACATGCTTTTCCGACTTTTTTTCTCTCCCAAAAAGCTAATACGACATCTAAAGAAACGGAAGGAGTAGCTAATCTTCAAGTCATCGATGCCGTAGCCAAAACCGTCGATATAATTAATGCTAAGTACAGACAAAGCATTGCCTACACAATCTTAAACACAAGCCATGCCTTGTGACACACGATTCGATATGTTAGGAATGGCACAGACCATTTTACTGGGTGTTTGGTTTGAAGAATCAAGTCATTCTACATGAGGTGGTGCATCACATGAGTCCATTCTTCAAATCTGATAAAATGACTCTATTTCTCATAGCGGTACGAATCATTAGCTTACGAGGAATAAGATAATGATGGTTCAATTCATTCTATTCGGCGAACCAAACAAAAAATGAAGATTGAGAAAATGATGGACTAACTCATTCCTCAAACCAATCAGACTATTAACCTTAAAAAAGAACATATGTGATCCTCGAAACGGAAATCATCGGACGCTACGAAAACCAACCACTATGTAGAGGACACATGGAGATCTCAAGCACTATTAAAAAATGGACGTAGTTCGCTGCAAACGATCAATTCGATACTTTTACATCAGGCACTGCCTACGCATTCTTAAACACTAGCCGCATCTCTCCTTAATTAATCACACAATGAGATGATATCTTACGAATACCGCAGAAACGTTTACGTCGCTGGACCTCGCAAACCAATGTATGTATCCCACAAAATGGAAACCACACGCCAAGCCTCAGAGGATGAATAATCAACCACTACGGAAAACGACCTGGCTGGATCTGGCGTTGTATTGTCATCTATCTAATTTGTACTACTATAGAGAGCACGCACACGTACGTATGGACCGTTTCCACGTCCAATCGCATTCTCGTCCCCACAAGGGTAATTGGCACGGTGAGACGTAAGTGCTCACGTACAGGTTACGCCGTTGGATCGATCTGGACGCGCGCGCGCACCATGGATCTATCCGTCTAATCCATCGGTCGACCGCCGGCCGCATCGCATGCGGCGTGCGCGCCCTCGGAGTCGGACAGGTGGTGCCCACTCTCCCTAGCCAACTAACCCTCTTCGTGCGTAGACGCGTCCACCCGGCGCGTCGATCCTGTGCGCCGCCCTGCGGCCACGATCGCGACGTCCCCGGCCAGGCCCGGGCTCCCACTCATCGTCATCAACCTCAAAGCATTAGCACGACACGTAGTTTCGTTCACTAACCCCGCGCGCGGTCCCACCACTAGCTAGTTTGAGCGGACGATTGGTACGGCGGTACAGCGCCTTTGCCTCGCATCGATTGGTCCGCTCGTCCGATCGAGCCTGATCGCCTCGTCCCGACCCCGGGGCCGGGGCCGGGGCCGTAAAACAACTCCACTATTGCGTTGTAAGCTAGCGTGCGTACGTAACCAGGTACGTCCTCTTCTACAGCATGACTGTGGTGTACTAGTACTGTGGATTTTTATTCATTCGCCAGGGCTACGTCGATCATCAGCATCCAGCAAATTTAAAATATAAAATATATCTTTTCCTACGCCATCACGTTGGTGTTCGATGTGCCTTGCATCGAGACTATACAACAGGGGGTTGTCCTTTTCACTAGTTTATTTTACAGCCTAATGCAGCCGTGTTAGAACAAGGGGCTCGGGACGACGGGAGGGCTTGGGATTGAACGTGCATGGGTGGATCCAGGCGGGGATTGTTCTATATGGATCCATATAGGCTCGTCAATTTGCAGGCGGGGATTGAATACTCCGTATAGAACAGCTGCTAATTGACGAGTCTTACAACTTCAAAAAGAAATTGACAAGTCTTATTAGAGGAGGGCATTGTCAAGAAATCCTTTTTTTTTTTTTTTCGGTGTTTCGGCGATTTTATTTTATTGACTTAAATGAAGGTGATATTAATAATAATATTTCTATGCATTCACGATTCTCGCGGGACGTAAGGGGAGATGAAAAAAGCCGCTACGGCGACCCAGACATGTCGCCTACAAGCTGTGGATAATAACAGGATATGAAGTGGTTGGGTTTCTCGGTTGCTCTCGGCGAACAACGGCGTCACGTTGACGATTTAGGTTAGTGTGATGTGATAATAAACCTAGAAGAAAACAGAACAGGTTTAGTGAACAAAACGTGCAGACTAGGTTTAGGAACAAAAAGGTAAAGGGAAATGGTTCGAATTACTAGTGCAGATATTAGATATACACAGTCCTGGCAGTGGCGTGGTGAGACCTAGGCGAGGCGGTGTACACGTAGCAGCGACGGTAGTACTACTACTACTGCCGCTGCTTTTCCTGCGGCCCGCTTTAAAAGCCTTCTCCTCACCTCCTCCTTCTCCCGTCTCGTCCTCTGCCCATCGTCGTCTTTCCTATCGCCCCCACGATTCCCACGCCCCCTCCCAAAACCCCCCTCTCGCCTCACAGCGCGGCCGCCGGCTTGGTGTGGCGCCCGACCATGTCGTCCCCGGCGCCGCCACAGCAGGCGCCGACGGCGCAGCCTCCCCCGCCGCCGGCCGCCGCGCCCCCCACCGCTGCGCCCGCGACGGTCGTCTCCGCGACCCCCATCTCGGTGCAGCTGCCGCCTATCCAGCCAAAACCGCCGCCGCCACAGCCGCAGGCGCAGGCGCAGACGCAGCAGCAGCCGCCGCCGGGTCCCGCTTCCGGCCCGCAGCCGCCGACGCCGGCGCAGCTCTTGAATCTGGGCCCGCAGCCGCCGCTGTACCGGGGCCCGATCTGCTGGAACACCTATTGCAAGGACCCCGACCCCAACTCCTTCGGCCGCCGCGGGTGGAAGGTCCGCTCGGGCCCGCCCTACTCCGTGTACGCCGACCTCTGCGGGAGATGCTAGTACGTGCCCTTCCCCCTTAACCACCTTCCTCTCCCTCTCCCCGTCCCTCTCCGCTCAATCGCGCCGTCGGCGAGCCGTCGCGCATGCTCGAATCGTGCTGGGGAAGCTCGCGCCGTCGGGGGCGGATTCGCCTATGGCGCCCACCGGATCTACGTGGAGTGATCGCCACGTCGTTGCGATTTCGCGGGATACGCGGGGGTTTTATGTAAAGTTGGTGTGCTTTGTTTGGGTGCTTTGACTTGCGTGCGACTCTTATTCGTGATGCATGCATGCATGTGGCTTACTGCTGCTCTCCGCTCTCCGCTCTCCGCTCTCCGCTCTGTGGCCAGTTCTCAGTTTGAACAGGGGATATACTGCGAAACGTTCCATTCCGAAGAGGGCGGCTGGAGGAGCTGTGAATCCTGCGGGAGGGTACGTGTTTTCTCTTGCATGCTGATTATGCCTACTGGTGGTCACTCTGCTTTTGTACCTGCTGATTGCAAGGGGTTTGTGTTCTGATTGAGCAGAGGGTACATTGTGGCTGCATCGTGTCCATCCACAAGTATCAGCTCCGTGACGCTGGTGGGGTTGACTGCGCCAAGTGTGCTCGGAGCACCCGTGCTGCCATGGTATGTCTTTCAACTGTCAAGAGGATTTACTATTATTGGGGATTGGGGACGATGGGATGGGGGTGTTAAGTGCATGCAACATGAGCCACTTGTACCCATGGCTGCGTGCTGGCTTTTTAAGTTTTTGAGGTTTCAAACATGCTGCTATTTGAAGGGCGGGCCTGGTGCAAGCAGTAGAGTCTTACCGCCTGTGACCGGAAGGTCCCGGGTTCGAGTTGCGGTCTCCTCGCATTGCACGGGCGAGGGTAAGGCTTGCCACTAACACCCTTCCCCAGACCCCGCACAGAGCGGGAGCTCTCTGCACTGGGTACGCCAAACATGCTGCTATTTGGTTGGCAGCATTAGTTCGGTGGATACTATGTTGATAATATCCTGCTTGTACATGCTAGTGCCATTAATTAACTTGTTTAGTCATGTTAATATGTCAAGGATGCCACATATTTATTGAGACCATGCCAATGCTATTTAGTGAAGCTGACAATTATTTACATTGAGGATGTTGATTTTGCATATTGAGGAGGCTTCCATTTATTATATTAACTGAATAGTGGGAGTTTAATCATATGTTCTCTTCAAATTTAGTTCATGTTTTGATCCCTGATTGACCACCATTGGCGCTTGTGCTTCGTAGGCACCACCAAGTCCAGTATGGACCACCCCTATTCATAGTTCTCAAAATGTATCTGACAGAAGAGACATTCCTGTGAAGAGCTGGAGGCCTCCTGCCGGGCAAATTTCAAGTCAGTGGAGACAGACTAATCTGTGGAGCATGTCCAGTGTACAGTCAGACTTGCAGCAGCGTCTAGCTTTTGAGTTTGATAGGCCTAGTGGTAGTGAAAAGTTACTTCCTGGGCGCACTTTTATTCATGCCCAGGAAAGGAAATTTGATGACATGCACGACAGACCAACAACTCCTGCGGGCATGAACCACATTATGAGGGAGAGAGATCCCAATGGGCACGGTCAGCCCACCAATATGGATCCAGCATACTCTTATACCCTCTATCACAGAGATGGATCACATCCAAATAATCTTCATGATCCTAGCCACCATGGTGGAGAAAACGACTCTTTGTCTTCCAGGAAAGTGGCGATGCCAGAAGCTTCTACAAGTGCAGATGCTGGCTTCAAGCTTGATTCACATCATCCGTCTAATTTAAAGGATGATCCACCATCCCTTTCAGTTGGACTGGCTTCTAATTTTGCATCACATAATGGACAGAAAGACCATATCAGAATTGCACCTACTCAGCAGCAAGCACAAATGGCTTCCTCCTCATTGCAGAAACAATTCTATTCTCACACTGTAACTGGATATAATGAACTCCAAGCACAATTGCGCAATGGAAGACCCAGAATGGATGCAAAGGCGAGATCACAGTTACTTCCCCGCTATTGGCCTAGAATAACAGATCAAGAGCTACAGCACTTATCTAGCGAGTATCCGACATATTCTACTTACATTAATGAGTAATTTTCCTTAAAGATATTACTTTCTATAATCATAATTCTCAACTTTCATAGACATGTTATTTATTTGAATTCTATTGAGTTTTCCCTTAACTTTCAAACAGTTCAAATTCTATTATTACTCCTTTGTTTGAAAAGATGTTAAGTGCTAGTGATGCTGGGCGGATTGGTCGTTTAGTTTTGCCAAAGAAGTGTGCTGAGGTGAGTTATTAATTTGATTGCCATTTTTTTATTTTGAAAATTCCCCGTGATTATCCTATGGCGTATTGTTATTGAGCATGGAAAATTGCCTTCTTTTGCTACTAGTTTGTTTGTATATTGATGTGTGTGTTTTTATAAAAAGAATAGGTTTGCCATTTATCTTGTGCCATGTCAGAAAGTTTAGTTTTTTGAACCTATGAGCTAAAATTTATCTTTGTTTGTTATCCTGGGCCATGACATAATTGTTAATAGTTATTGAATTAAATTTTGTCAGATGCATGACTAAATCGCATAGTATCTATAGAAAGCAGCACTTGTCTAAGATAACTCTGTTGGGAGTTCTTTTCGTGGGGTACAATCATATTATACACTAATTAAAGCAGTACTTGTTTAAGATTGTTTTTTTTTTTGGTGTGTGCCTTATCCCAAAAAAGTTCCCTAATGGGAAAAGAACATTTTGGACAGGCATACTTCCCTCCGATCTCCCAACCTGAAGGGCTCCCTTTAAAGGTTCAGGATGCCAGTGGTAAAGAATGGATATTCCAATTCCGTTTCTGGCCAAATAACAATAGCAGGATGTATGTATTGGAGGGTGTCACACCTTGCATTCAGGCAATGCAGTTACAAGCAGGCGACACAGGTACATATCTTTTCTTAGACAAATAGATACTGTAGTAGGTACTAGGTAGTATATAGTGTGTCACATACATAAACAAAATGTCTTCCTTCCATTACTTGGGGTTCAGCTTGCCCATTTTAGAGGCACATGTCTAAATTGTTGTTGTACACGCGATGAGATAAACATTTGTTTTAGTTATGTATTCCCATCACACTGCATGTCTTAAATATAAATATGTTACCTGACTGATCTTTTGCTGCAATGCTAATCTTTTTGCTCTATGATCTTCCAAGTATGTTTTGCTTTATCTTTCCATACTTCTATTGTTATCCTTGTAGTTATCACGTTTTTCTAGTTTTATTAACCCTACGCTATTTTTTCTGTAGTAACCTTCAGTCGAATAGATCCAGAAGGGAAATTGATCATGGGCTTCAGGAAGGCAACTAATAATTCTTCTGAACAGGTATGCACATTGAAATACTTAGTTACATCTGATTGTTCCTCCAAAATAAAAAGGGCTTTCAAAAATTAAACCTCTAGCACATTGATTGCACACACTTATACTGTTTTTGAACTGACAAGTCAGATGCATCGAATTTTATAAGTGTTTGCTTATGCCAGATGAAATGTTATTTTATTGTCCATACCTGTTTAATCTTTGCAATTGGTTTGTATGCTGTATCTCTACTATTCTAATTTCAAGATTCAAGTTCCCCTATGATTCCAGTAGATTTTTTTTGTTAATTGGAAACAGATAGTAATAGAAAAGATTGTTCTGAATTGTTTCCTAAGCAAACTTATACCCTACTATATGGTGGTTATACATTCCTGATTACTAAATTTATTGTTTCTGTAATATTCTTGTGCAGTTCTTTTCCCCTCAATGGTGGTTACATATTCCTGATTGCTAAATTTATTTTTTCTGCAATATTCTTGAGCTTCCCTTCAATTTCGAATACATGCTGTATTACAATGGCAGATATTTTTAAAAAACTGATCCCTTCAACTATATTAGTTGACTACAGGCTGTTAAAGTTTTAATCTAAAAATATTTTTTGTCCATTGTCTCATTTTAACAGGAGCAAATTACAAAGCCTGCCAATGGTGCCCCAGCAACTTCAGAAGCAAATGGTAAAGTTTCTGGTCCAGATTCCAGTCCAAATGCTGCAGTTTCCCGTCAAAACAAGTTCAACACAGAGACCAAAGGTTCTAGTCCTGTGGAACAAGCCACTGCATCGAAAATGGATAAGGATGGATTAACACAGAAGGAAGGGCCAGGAACTGCTAGTTCTTCCCCAGGTTCTGTCAAGAGAAAAACAACTAATCTTGGCCAAAAGAATAAAAGATTACGGATGGATAATGAGGAATCAATGGAGTTGAAGATAACATGGGAGGAAGCTCAAGAATTGCTTCGCCCTCCTCCTAAGGCCCCGTCCATTGTTATTGTTGATGGTCATGAGTTCGAGGAATATGAGGTATAACAATCCTTTCAACACTTTACTTACTGTGGATTTGCATCCTGAAATTGAAACTTGTTTCTGAGAATCTGTCTCAAGGACAATATTTGCATGCTTGGCTTCTTTTGCTGTTTATTTACTGCTTAATACAGAAGAATAAAGCACACATGTTTCTGTATTGAAATTCTGCGTTTTTCAGGAGCCACCGATACTTGGAAGGAAGACTTATTTTGCACCAGATAAATCAGGGTATTTTTTTTGAACTCAAAAGCTTCTAAGTGTGACTTTTCTATTAATCTAAAATGGGTGTGATGAACGTTAACTGCTTTTGTTGATGTTCATGCTAATACCATTTGTTTTCCTCACCATACGTATCAAGCTATCTTCTATTTGTTTGTGTTTTTACATAGAAAGTGGTTCAAATTCAATGTGTAATAGCTGTTAATGCTTCCTAGATATGAGTTATGAAGTGAATCAGTGGCACTAATTTAAATTAACAACACTAACAGTTCGAACCATCAATGGGCCCAATGTGAGGATTGTTCCAAATGGAGGAAACTCCCAATAGATGCCCTGTTGCCCTCCAAATGGACCTGCTCTGACAATAAATGGGATCCAGAAAGGTGATCTTCTCTCATTGTTCCTTTAAGACAATTTGTGCCCATTTTATTTTTTGTGGCATATGAAAACATGATGAATCATATTTGCATCCATGGGTCCCACAAGGCAGCAAAGTATTTTTTTCGTTCAAAGCATTTCATTCAAAGTGGTGTACTTGGAAATAAATCTTAACCCAAAAGCCAGTCTGGTGATCTGGTCTTTATGTATATGCTGTATTGATTGTAATAATAATTTTATTCCATGTACGTGTAATCAAAATCTGTAGCAAAATGTTAGACAAAGAATCACTTGATATTGTTTAATCTGAATTCTGAAGCTTGCTATATAAAAAGAGGCATCACATAGAATTTCATCATTGAACATGTTCTATGAAGTATATGATGCCTGTAGCCTCCTATGTACTACATAATCCAGTTGCACATGTACTAGATAGAATGTCTGTTCAGAACACCACATTACAGTTTTCACTGACTTGATGCAACTATACTTGCATGTGCACATATATTTTATTCCTTCAAAATTAATCCCACCTATATGTTCAAGAACTCTCTTGTCCAGCAAATGTTTTCTCTTATCCATAGAATACAATTCATGGATATGTTATATTCGATTATAAGCTGCTGAATTCGTGTAAGTTTTGAAGTATCACCTATGTACCTTGCAGTAGTAAGGTGTGACTTTTTTCTTGTTTACTTCAACCATATGATAGCACCTAGTCAGTATTCTTTTATGTGATTATTTATGCATAGGGACACATTACTTTGCACCCAGTGCTAAACACATTACATCAATCAGTTCAGTTCCCAGACTAGTTTTGCCTAGCCGCCTGCACGAGCGAGCTCACTTTGCCAGCTCGGGTGAGCTAAAATCGCTCTCCCACCATAGCAAACAAAAAGCTTGCCAGCGTAGACTCTGAGGACGACTTGCCTGGAATCCAAAGACCTTCCTTCGGTCACCTAGCTTAGGTCAAGGCGAGGCAAGGATTCATCCAAGAACCAAACGCTAGATGCATTTTTCTGTGATGGATTTGGAAATTTTTATGCGAGTCTGTATGTAAAGTGCATGCTGAAGAATGCTGATAGCTTTCTATGAATGAGTAAACCTAGGATTAAAGTATCACTATTGAAATTGAGCACTGGAGCTGCTTAGGATTGTATGGAATTATTTCCAGCTGTTAAACTGTGTTTAGCACTGGGTGGAAAGTATTAATTTTGTTTCTTGGGTGTTCTAGAAGATATGCATGTATGGTGATATGCTAATTACTCCCTCTATCCCAGAAAAATTGATGGTCTAGGATTAAAAAAAATGTCCAAAAAGAACTTGATGTTTTACCTCTTGGACAATAGGTTTGGCCATATCAGTTTGAGATTGCAGTCATGTTTATCTTCAATAAATAGGGGTATATGGGTAATTTCCTTTGAGCACTAATCTGTCCTAAAAATTCTATATCTATATGGTAACAGAATTGCATGACCTTTCTATATTAAATAGGCAACATAACTGAAAACTGGACATGTTTCTAAAAATAATAGTGTTTTCCCCCCATCATGAGAACATCATACACAATTGTGACAACCATGTATCTAAATGAGCAGTTAGTTGTATGTTATGTCAAGACAGCTAAATATTCTCCCTCCCTTCCAAATTATAAGCTGTTTTGGTTTTTTTAGATACATAGTTTTTGTTATGTATACACTATGTCTAGATACGAAGTAAAAACGACATATCTAAAAAAGCCAAAACGTCTTATAATTTGGAACGGATGGAGTAGTTATTTTGCAACTGCTTGGTTTACTCATCACTACATCTTAGTTATTCAGTTAAACACCTGTATTTTTTTTCTAGGTCTTCTTGCGAACCTGCACAGGAAATAAGTATGGAGGAGCTTGCAGAACTCATTCCTATAAAACATGGTATGGTACACATGCCCTCTGTAGTTTTTATATATGCTTCTGTAGAATTAGCATTTTCATTAATGTCTCTTTCCAAATAAAAATGCCAAAGATGCATTTCAGACAGAAAAAGTGGTTCGATCCACTATGAACTTTGTACTCTGCATAGAGCTGTAACACAAGAAAAAGTTTAGACCATGAAAGATGGCTGATCGCTACTGGTAACGAGGCATGCCACAGTCCTAGTGCATGCTATAGCTAGGTACTTAGCTGCATTAAAAGGAAATCCAAGCTCATCTTGTGTTTTCAGAAAAATGCATGGTGGAGCTTGCCCAACCCATTACTTAATGGGCTATGTTTGTTTTCGTTCTGTTGGGTCCTTTTGTTGGTAGCGGTATTGGGATTTCTTGCATTGTAGTTCCTCTGTTTGTAATATGTGGCGTTTAGGACAAGCTAGCTAGTCAAAGAATGCACTAATCAGCTTGTCCTAAAGGTCACATATTTAGAAATGAAGGGAGTGGGAGTCATGCATTTTAAAGGTAGGCCCAATTTGCATAACATCCCTTCATTATTCTATGTAAGATAGTTTGTGTGATGTCTACTACCCCGTTCCAAATTGCAAGTCGTTCTGGCTTTTACATAGCTTCTGCTACATACCTCGATATACATTATGTTTAGATACGTAGTAAAGCCTACTTCGTTTGTGTAATGTCTGCTACTATGTAAGATAGCGGTATGTCTACTAGCTTCTACTACATACCTAGATATACACTATGTAAGATAGTTTGTGTAATGTCTACTACTCCGTTCCAATTTGCTACAAACCATTATGTTTAGATACGTAGTAAGCCAAAACCACTTACAATTTGGAACGGAGTATGTTCGAAGTTTCATTTACTTGTACGATAATCTATAACTGTATTTAATGGTTTGTTGTAGCCAAAAAGCCCAAATTGAGGATGGAATCTGATGCTATTGATGCTTCAGATGGGCTGGACACACTTGCAAACCTTGCAATTCTTGGCGAAGGTGAAGCTCTTCCTTCGCAGCCAACAACAAAACATCCTCGTCATCGTCCCGGCTGTTCATGCATCGTCTGCATCCAACCGCCAAGCGGGAAGGGTCCAAAGCACAAGCAGACATGCACCTGTAACGTTTGTATGACGGTTCGCCGCCGCTTCAGGACGCTCATGCTTCGACGCGAGAAGAAGGCGGCAATAGATACGCCTCGCAAGAAAGAGACTGGCCAATCCAGTGAGAAGGTCACACAAGCTGTGTCCGTCCCGCCAGTAGCCAGTGCCAGTGCAATCACCAGCTCCCCTCGGAAAGCAGATGGAATTGCCGATGGGCCCGAAGACATGGCCGTGGATCACAAGGTGACATCCTCTCCCGTCAAGAACCATATTGACCTGAACATCCAACCTGATCGGGATGATGAGCAATCACCAAAATCTGGTGCGGCTGGTTTGTTGAGCCGAGACAATCCAAGTTAGAGAGCGGATCGTGTGGATTGCCTGATCATTCCGGTGAGTTGACATAGATAACCGATCGAACCTATCCTTCCGAATGTCTATACCCATTTTTTAAGAAAGATGTGGCGTGAGCCGTGGGGTGTTAGTGTAGCTGTTGCCTGTTACCCTCCCATACCATAGAGCCGGTTTCCTTTTTCCCTCAGACTCCAGTGGTACTGTTTATCGTGTATACCATAGGGCAGGATACCCGTAGGTGTTGCATGGGGCCTTGCATACCCCTGTATGCATGTATGTATTGCAAGACTAGCTCGTTTCGGCTGAATGTAAACCATAAGTTGCTAATGTACCCTGCACGTATTTCTCCCGGAGTTGGCAGGAATTGCCACATTCGTATGTGTGTTCAGGATGAATGAGCTTTGTCTTCGAGTTTGCTCCATTGTTTATGTAAGAATGATTTATGACAGGGATGCCATTTGCTGGCTGCCTGTAAAGATTGGCGTCTAAGGGGGTGATTGGTTGCCCTGCTCGCGCTGTCCAGAGCCCCATCCGGCACCGAGTGGTGCACTGTGGTGGTTCCGAGTGGTGCACTGTGGTGGTTCCCCTCTTCGTATGTTTTGCCTGTTTTGTTCCATTTATCTGCTCCCCTCTATCCTGCTCGTGAGGTCTTCTCAATTTCATATTCCCTCACGAGCTGGGATGGCTTCGTACACGCATGGTGAAGGGGTGTCAGACACCCAAAACTTGATGCATGCGTTTAACCAAACACAATCTCATCTCGTACTGAACCAACGACAAAGATAACTAAACACAACAAAATGCATAGTCTCATCATCATGGCTGAAAAGAACCTGGACAGCCACTTCATCCCGGCTCGCAACCAATCGCCCCCTAAAGTAAAGTAGACTAAACGAGCACCGCCAGTCCGCCACACGGGTACGCGTGTTTTCGGACAGCAGAGTAGACTGGGATACCACCACGGTTTGCGCAAACTTGAGGAAAATATCCTAACCAGACTGGTTAAACCAGTATACTTCAAAAATCAAAATACATGGCCGGTGGCTGAATGACGCGATTACGGCCCAAGTGCGACGTTAGTTGGTGAACCGATTGCGTTGTGTGAGGTCAGGTCAACTCAGATGGCCAAATCCTCCCCCCTCCAGTGCAGGACTGCAGGCGACTGTGGGACAGAACCTGCTCTTGCCGGGCAGTAGGAGGTCCGCGTCCGCGCTGATTGCACAAGTGTAAGAACAACGCAGAATGAGCAAAGAACCAACGAAATGGGATGCGATGAGCAGCAACTGAGAGCACCCAAAACGAATTTTGGGGATGTTCAGGGCATCAGTAACCAGCACCTGTCACTGCTACCAAGTACGATCGAACATGTCCTTTCTCTTGTGCAAAATCTATCACTATCCCCTGTTACTTGACAAAACCATTTACGAGTTACTTGACAAAACCATATCTTACAGAGACCAAGAACCAAAATCGATGACGATCACGGAACAAAAAACCAGAACCCTTCTTGCGAGGGCGCGAGGCGCAGCTATATTTGCAGCAAGTCTTTCAGTAACGGCTGCCCCTGCCAAGCATGTCGTTGTAGTGCTTGAGCGACTCCTGCCGCTGCAGCCGCATATCCATGTTGACCTTGTGGATGAACGCCTCCACGCGGCGGTTCAGCTCGTCCTGCCCCAGCGACGGCTCCCGCCGCACCGGCGCGGGAGGCACCGCCTTGCTCCTTCCGGCGCCACCGTCGTTGAAAGTCTCGGCCTTCCGCACCGCCGCCCCCGCCGGGGCGACGGCCGCTGGATCGACCTCCCCGCTGCTGCCGCCGCCGGACGGACGTCGCCCCGGGCGGGTGTCCCAGGTGTCGGACTTCTTGAGATGCCGAGCTAGCGGCGGGCCCCGGCCCTCCGTGATGGCCTTCCACGTGCTCTCCAGCGTCTCCTCCTTCCGCGGCCGCGCTACGCGCAGAGCCCGGCTACCTGCAATGCCCAGAATTCCAGTTGGTACCAAACGAACAAACATTTGTATCTATATCTTCGTTGAATTCGACAAAAAAAGGGCGCAATTCCTAGTAGAAAACAGAATTGCCAAAGCTTAAGCTTCCGAAGACTTTTCAATCGTGCTGAGGATTGCAAAAGTGCCTGACCAACGTTGTTACCTTCGGGGCTTGGTTTGGCCGCCTTCCTACTGAACCTCGCCGAGACCAGCGGCTTCTCCCTGGAGTTGGTCAGGTCCGCGAACGGCGGCACCTCAGTAGTCTCCACATCCGCCGCCACCCCCGGCTGCGCGCCCCTCCGACGCGGCGTCCAGGTCGACCTCGAAATCGAAAAGTCCTCGTCCACCTCGTCGTCCGGCGCCACCGCTACAGTGTGGATCTCCACCACAGGCTCCTTGAAAGCCGCGACCTCCGCGGCCTTCACTGCCACCACGGGCACCTGCAACGCAACCGCCGGCTGGATCCCATCCTGCACCATCTCCTCGCCCGCTACTCCTCCTCCTCCGATGGCGTCGGCGTCGGCGGCATACGAAGGGGCCGGCGGACGTCCGCCGCCGCCGCCGCCGGGCTGGAAGCGCGACAAGGCGGCGATGGAGATGATGATGGCGTTGATGACGAGGCACAGGTACGGCGGCGTGAGCCAGGTGGCGGCCACGGCGCGGGCGTGCGGCAGCTCCTTCGCCACGAACGCCGCCGCCGCGGGGCCCAGGAACCGCACGCCCACGGCCGTCAGCAGCGCCGCCGCCGCCGCCTTCACGGTCAGCGCGTACCCCATCGATCTCCTCCCCGCCGTCTTCTACTTCTCCTCGCCCGCGGTTCCAGCTCCTCCCCCGAACCCAGCACGAGCCAAGCGCCGCGCCCTTGCCGTGCCCTCGTCTCCTCGACCGTGTGCGGCGTGCGCGGCAGCTAGCGAAACGGAAGGAAGGGAAGCGAGCGCCGAGCGAGCAGGGAGGTCAGGAGGTGGGCGTGGTGGGGCGAGGAATTTATAACGAGGGGGGCCGGGCCGATGGCGAGACGCGGGCCATCGGATGAGGCCCGCGTGAACGGTGGGAGATGTGGGTGGTGGCGTACTGGCGTGGTGCAGTGTAGAGCGTCTGCGTGCCTGTGCCTGGGAATGGCTTGCTTCGTTAGAAAGGTCCAGGTCGAGATCAGCATCAGCCAGCGGCAGACCGGCAGTGGAGAGAGTGTGACCGTGGGGACGCCAGGGTTTATGGCCGGTGGCGACAGACAAGTGGACGGCGACCTCCCCGGGAGGCAGAGGCTGCGGCTCGAACGCCCACGGGAATTCCGCGCGAGTTTCCCGCATCGGAGGGGGTCGTCCTCGTCCACACGATGGCGTCTGTCCACCGGCCAACGCATTGATCAGACGGCTCGGGACGAGTGAATGTAGCAGGGTCTCTTTCCGTCGTTCGACAGCGCTGGACCGTGTCATGGCCATTGCATTCGCACAGTTTTGGGCCATGTGGGGTTCATTCACTCCAGCAATCAGCAACCTGTTACCTGTGTGTGTCCCGGACTCTGCAGCCCTGCTGGCTGGTGCGGGACAGAGCTCCGAACGAAACTGACGCGGCGGGGAGCCGAGGAGGCCGGCCGAGGTTCAAACGGTCAGAAAAATAACCGTTGGGTGCGATGGGGGACTGGGGAAGAGAGCGGGCGCGCGGGCCCCCGCCGCAGGCGGCCACGTTTCTGGTGGGCCTGCCGCGCAGCCACGTATGCCGGGCCCACGAGCCTAACCTAAACGCGGCCTCCCGCTTTCTCTGACTCCCGGGCCGCGGCCGAGCTGGAGACGGGCGCCCGTACCGCCGTTGCCAAGGCTGCCTAGGGCCTACGGGAAAGAGTCCAGCCCGGCTGACCTCACCATCGCTACTTCTCTACTGATCGGTGTCACTGTGTCAGTGCTCGTGTCTATCGAGTTCTCCCGCCTGTTCCGGCCGTACCGTACGTGCGCAGGTTCCAGGCTTGCAGCCGTCTGCCATGCCCATTAAAAATGCACACACTACGGCTCGCCAATGTGCAGAAATTTGGGATTGGGTCGATGGATCTACCGTCCCAGAACTCACGCACGCTTCCTGCGTAGTGCTAAAATAAGCAAAGCCCTTGTTTAATTGGAGTCCAAAATCCTAAAAAATGCTATAGTACATGTCACATCGAATGTTTGCGGCTTATGCATAGAGCATTAAATGTAGACGAAAAAAACTAATTGCACAGTTTGGTGGGAAATTGCGAGACGAACGTTTTGAGTCTACTTAGTCCATGTTTGAACAATAATTGCCAAATAAAAACGAAGATGCTACAGTAACCTCAAATTCTAAATTCATAGAACTAAACAAGGCAAAGATAGATCTTCGAACAAGAAAGAAATAAGCGAGGTAGGAATAAAACCCATTCTCTTATCGCAAGAAAGAGTCACATCCTTCTTGACACAAAACAGGTCGTTTATATTAGAAGAATATACTAGAAGTTTTTGTACTTACAGCATGTGCTCTCGCCATGCTACATACCGTATACAAAAAGAAGGGGTCATCCAAGTCCGTGTCGAAACGTGGCGTACACGTGCGCATCGTGGTGGAAAAAAATTCAGCGTAAACTGTATCCATCCATATATATATGTCATAGATGATTGCCATATGTCCAGTCAACCTAATCCAACGGCACACCCTAAAGATTTCCTCGCATGTCTGCATGCGGCTTCGATTGCCTCCCACGCCCGCTGTTTTTCTGCTCTACCATGAGTGGGTGGATTATGTTGACTGGACACCTGTATGCAGAGAGATGGATGCATCATTTTTTTCCCCGTCGTGTGGTGGCACGAAAATACGTGTACGTGGCCGGTATGTACGCGGCGCAAGATGACCTCATGCACGGTGGTGACGCGGCTGCAAATACGTACAGGTGCAGCTCGGAGGGATCGCCTGCCTACTTGCCCATACAGCCGCGTGCCTCGCCGGACCCGTATTGCTGCATGCATTCGCCGGAAGGTCAGGTTTAGACTGTATCCAAGAAGAAGGAAAGATATCAAACT